TGCCTTCTCCTGTCCACTGAATCCAAAGCACAATCTCAGCTTCCACAGTATGAATCACATTTCAGACATACATGGTTTATATACAAGCAACTCAGACCACCGCATCATAACATAAAATAGAAAATAACAATTATACAAGATCAAATCAAAAGTGACTGTGAATGTAAGAGACTTTAACTAATAAATAAGGGATAACTTAAGGATAGTAAATCTTATAATAATATTCAATAGGTTAAATGAAAGCTTATAATAACAGTAATATGTATATAGTCTAGTTAGTTAATAATTATACAAAAAAAGATGTATCAAATGATAGTCCATAAATAGTAACTAGCAATCTTAATTCATTTATTCTTTATTATCGACAAAATCATTTACTTAAACTGTACATTCGTATATAGAGTTAGATACGGAAAATGTATGTCTATAGTAGGACAGGAAATATTGCATCACCAATAAATAACAAATGAGGTTACGTACTAATCAAGGGGTAAGGAGAAGGAAATCGTTTATGAGTCAGATAATAGTCCAATTTCACAGATTGAAATCATGAGACAGTTGAAGCTAGACCACCATTGAAAACTTGGAAGCACTGGACGGCCGTTTCGTCCTAGTATGGGACTCCTCAGCAGTGCGCATCCACGATCCCGCACTACGCGGGGCTCGAACCCATGACCTACTGGCTTCGCGCGCGAGCACTTAACCATTAGACCACTGAGCCGGCATCCAACGGTGTTAATGTCTAACTTCAACCAATCCACGAAGTTGCGCCACCGTACACCATTGTCTTCAGTGAGTTCCTATCTCACAACAGACCTGGTTGAACTCCACTGGTGACGGCTTCTCACTAGAACTTCGGGAGTTTTTCCTGAAGTCAGTCACTAGTGAGCAGTTTATTATTATCAGAATGGGTTTTGTGGAGATTTTAGAAATTCCACAGATTGAAATCATGAGTCAGTTGAAGCTAGACCACCATTGAAAACCTGGAAGCACTGGACGGCCGTTTCGTCCTAGTATGGGACTCCTCAGCAGTGCGCATCCACGATCCCGCACCACGCGGGGCTCGAACCCAGGACCTACTGGCTTCGCGCGCGAGCACTTAACCATGGTGGTCTAGCTTCAGCTGACTCATGATTTCAATCTGTGAAATTTCTAAAATCTCCACAAAACCCATTCTGATAATAGTCCAATTGACGAATATGAAGAAAAGCGACAAACACAAAGGTCATAATAATAGACTGAATAATACTCAAGAAAACTGGTACACGGTAATAATAACCACTAATTAGAGTTTAAAATGCAAAATAGTAATATTTAAAAAATTTCGATTACAATCAAATAAAAGTGCAAACAAAATTAGGGTTAAGGAAGGGTGAGAGGTTGGAAGAATCGTTTCTACACACAAAGTTCGGATCTGAGTTCGTGAATTGCCAGTGCCTCAGCAATGCATAAAATAGTGATTCGACACCCCTTCGATCCAATCCCTTTGACTCTATAGATCACTTTAAAAGAATACTTGGGATCGGTGTGTCCAAAATTGATTAAATGTTCCTGTATAGAACTAGTGATTGTCTTACATTCTCCTTTTAAAAGCTAAGCTGGATAGTGTTCTGAAATGCGTTTGGAAAGTGATCGCTTTGTTTGGCCTATATAACGAGCCCCACATGAGCACGTAATTTATAAATACACATTGATGTGGCCCAAAGCAAAGTTTATCTTTCACACATCCAGGAATGGTAAGCCGGCTTGAGAAAACAATTCGGAGCTTGGCTGTGTAGAAAGTTTTATTCAATGATTTTGAAATCCGTTTATTTAAGATTTCAGCAGCCGTGTGTCCTTTGAATTCCATATTCATGAACAGGGTTTTCTTTTGTACTGTCGATACTTTCTCATGATGAATCCTAGGTGTTAAGTTACTATCGACAAATCTAGGTGGATAACCGTTTCTGATGAGAGTTTGTCGAAGTTGAATTAGTTCCTCATCTATTGTGTCAGTAGAACAGATTCGCTTGATCCTAGAGGATAAGCAGTGAATTATGTTCCTCTTTCTACTCAATGAAACCCAACTATGGAAATTAGTGTACTGCCCATTCCAAGTAGGTTTTCGATATATAGATCACTGTAAAAAACCATCAGGCTTTCTTTTTAACCGGACATCGAGAAAATGAAATTCATTATTTGGCTCTGCTTCTAAGGTGAATTGAATTGAGGGGTGGTAGTTATTGAAACTTTTCAAAATTTCATCTAGGTCAATGCCTTCTTCACAAATAATGAAAATATCATCCATATATCTCTAATGTAGATGAAATCTCTCAATTATTGGACGAAGTACAGAATTATCCAGATTGGCCATGAAGCAATCAGCCAAGAGAGGGCTCAATGAAGAACTCATTGCAACTCTATCTGTTTGTCTATAGAAGTCATCATTAAATCTAAACTACACGTTGAGCGTACATCGTAGAAGTAATTCTTTTAGATAATGTTTAGGGATACATATATCATGGTTGTTGTTTTCAATATAGTCACATAAAAAACATATAGTTTCTGTGAGAGGAACATTTGTAAAACGCGAAGTGACATCTAATGAGATCATTTTCTTACCAATTACGTTGACATTTTTGATTGATTCGACAAAGTCAAAGGGATCAATAGAGTTATATTTATTGATATGATTTTTAACATGTTGTAAAATGTCCACTAACCATTTAGCAATCAAGTGACATAGAGACTTGTTCATATGAAGTATAGGACGTAGAGGGACATTATTCTTATGAACTTTTTGGAGTCCATATAATCTTGGTACAACGGAACCAGAAGGTTTAAGATATTCAAAGAGGTCACAACTAATAATAGACTCATCATTCATCTTCCTTGGTATTCTAATCAGCAACAATTCCGTTTTTTCAGTTGTGTCTTTTTGAACGGTTTCTTTAGAGAATTTGACAGGATCAAATATTATCAACGATTTTCTTCCTTACCCCTTGATTAGTACGTTAACCTCATTTGTTATTTATCCTCCTATAAACATAGATTTTCCATATCTAACTATATATACGATTGTACAGTTTAAGTAAATGATTTCGTCGAAAAGAAAACTTTCTTCGCTGAATTCTCTTTTTCTTATTCTTTGTTAGCATATGACGAATACCTGTTAACAAACGTTTATGTATCTGTGTATTTTCCATTCTGAGCCAACCACATTGATATTAAGCGAAGTGCTAATTCAATCGTTAGTCTTGTAGTTATTTGTAATAGTCTCTAAGATCAACAAATTCTTTTCGTTCGAATCCCAAATCCTCAGTACAGAAGAGAAATATAAGATATTTTGCAAAACTGGAGCGAATATAAAATAGAACACCGGATCCGTTGACTATTTGAATTCATGAACTTTTATTTGGCTGGTTTATCGGTTAAATTGTTGAAATGATTTGTAGTGTAATACTTATATTCGGAGACGATTGTTAAACGCTTTTCCCTAATAAATATGTATTTGGTGTCCAACCCAGTTATTCGTTCGTTCTCAGGAGCTTGTTTCTAAACACTAAATTTCCAACCATCCATTGATAAGGTGGCGGTCTTTCTAGGTGTACGTAATTGTTCAACCTACACCTGAAGCAGTTCACCAAATATATAATCACAACATTTAATAAAGCTTTCCAGATGGACCAATCTTTTGGAGTAAATATACTAAGGCTTTTCGGTGTTTCAACCCAAAAACAAGGACCATATATACATTACTATGTGAGTAGGATACCATTTACAACAATCTTTTTTCAAAGCATGTCAGCAAGTAATATTTTTAGCGGAAATTCCATTATATGACTACTTCCTCAACTGAAGTGTAATTAACCTAAGGTATCTAGACATTTTGCGATCTATTTTCTTCATGAGTCCTATACACTAATTCCCAAAGCCCCAACTACGCTCATCCTAGTGGCCCTATTCCGACTAGTTACCTTTTCAGGTTTGATCGTCGTCACAAATAATTGCACACACTTCGACTGGTTTGTTAAACAAGTCACATGATATCGAGTAATTATTTTATCTTGATTTCAAAGTGATCTAGGAGTAAATCTTCTAGAAATCGTTCATCATTTGTAGTACTTCTGACGAAGTACATATACAGAAATTTTGTACAGAACTTAGTAATTACTCGCTCATAAATCCCGACCGATTTGTAACCTCAGTCCAGATACTCCTCCAGGAACCTTTTATCAACTTGACATTTAAGATATAATGCTAACGTTATTGGAACTTGTGTATTATTGCATTTTTGTAGAAACACGAAATGGTTTCTTCACAACACTTATGCACCCATAAGATGTTTGTGAATAATAATATACGTTGTCCCACACTCAGTATGTTTGAACCAGCTGCCATATTAGGCAGTTAGTGAGTCACTAAGCAGTGAAAAAGTGCACTATTAAATTCTTAATAGGTTAATGGCATTGTGTTAATGCATGATGTACAATAATTACTATGTATACGCCGTTTTGACGGCACACACACGCCACTGATTAGCATGGAAAATTTACAAATGTTTGTTCACAGAAAATGAAGTTTTATTCATGTTTTTAGTTGGCAGCGTACAAAATATGCAATGCCCCAAATGCCCTAGAGCGGCCGAGAGTGGGGTGGGCCCGCCCTCTCTCTCGAAATGCTCTCACACGGCCATGCGTATACAACCTCTGCCAGGGAAGTCCTACTCACTGCTTTCTCGCATCACTGGTGTTGTTTACGAAAATGAGAGGACGAAAAGAGAATGTCCGGTGCTTTAACCGGATTCCAAACCAATGGTGCACATGGGCTCCAGTATCCTGAAGGAACAAATGATGTATGAACTAATTGTTGGTCACCGGCTTCCATGGGACTGCATCTCTTTACGATGCTCCACTGCCTTGTGGATCAGACCTTCAGGTCGAAGGCTCTGGGTGTGACCTCCTAAGAAAACCACCTGCTTCGGTTTGGGCACCCGGGCAGTATCACAGCCCTCCCACAAATCGAATGATTTATGTGGCGCATATGTATTTGATGCCTCCTTGTACCAATATCTAAGTGTTAAAATAAATAAATAAATAACGTAAGAATCTTCCGTATCCACCAACGGATTTATTTAATCGTATATCGTAAAAAAGAGATAGTACATATGTTAACTTAATTATTTATTTGACGTGTTTCACCATTGAATAATCACGTATAACATTCAAAACAATCTCGTACTGTAAATACTTCTATTGTAATGAACGAGAACACAAATAGGAACAACCAAATGTATTTGAATATAAAATTACAGAATCTAAGAACCATACAATAAATACTTTATTTGTAAAATGTCAATTAATCGTCTCAAACTTCATTTCCATATCAATCATTCTCTGTTCTTGTTCTCTTCTTAACCATCTGCCATCAAGTATTTCACTGTCTATTGATGATACCTACTACTTATATCTATCGATATCAGTAGTATATACGCTACAATATCATTTACACTTCTTTAAGTGATTCATTAACTACTACTATTGTTGATATAGACCGCGGTATATGTATGAATTAGTTTACAAAGAAAAAATGGATATCGTTTTAAAATGAAACACAATAACATAATTATATTGCCAAAAATGCCTGGTTTCTTTTTTCATGAATAATGATGATCGTTATTTTTTTCGGGGTGTAGGGTGGCGTAGCGTGGGGTGGGGTGGGGAAATGACATCAGTTCAGCGATAAAAAAATATTAATTAAGTAGCAACAATAATAATAATAATAAATAAATAATTATCAAACATAATCCTTACCAAGTATTATTGTCTATTTATTCTCCACATTAATTGTGATCACCATGGTAACCATTATCATCATCATCACCATATTATTATTATTATTAATTTGAATGTATAATAATTTGAAAGTGTCCAGATAATACACGTTTACCTAATAATTTAGCCCATTCACGAAATATAGGAATAACTTGTTTATTTAAATATGAACGTAAATTATAAAGAGATACTGGTGTATGATTCATGAAATCTTCTTTACTACTGATTGTCTTCGACGATGACGATGACGACGACGACGACAATGATGATGTATTATCATTATACTTTATATAAAAATAAATATGTGAATCTAATGTATCTATATCCATAGTAACAGGAATTGAATTTATATCAATTGAAGATAGAGATGAAAATCTTGTATAATGATTATTTAACTTTAATTGATTTAATAATTGTATACAATGATTAATAGGTATCCAATTATAGGTTTCAGAACATGCTAAATAAGCAGGACCATATTGTGATTTATATGACATTTTACAACATGAATGAATATAATAACCCATATAATATGAATTAAAATTTTGATATAATACATCGGATTGAATTGAATTTAAACCATAAGTATTAGATAAATAACGAACAAATGCAATTTCACTAGGAAACAAGAGAAAAAAAACAATTAACGAATAGTAGTTCTCATGTGAATTGTGCATAGAAATAATAAAAATGAATAGCCTAGTGATTATAGTAATTGGTTTCTACTGGTGATCGACTAGATTATGAAGATGTCAATATCTAGGAGGGGGGCATGGGATTAAGTAGATAGCTAGGATGAAGCTGGATAATCTAGACTTTGCAGATGATTTCGCTCTTTTATCGCACACACACAACAACAAATACAAGAGAAGACGAACAGTGAAGTAGCAGCAGTAGATCTCAATATACATAAAGGGAAAAGCAAAATTCTCTGATACGACACAGTATACACCTATCAAATCACACTTGACGGAGAAGCTTTGGAAGATGTAATAACCTTTACATCATTGATGAACACGTTGGATCTGATTCAGATGTGAAGGTGCAGATCGGCAAAGCAAGAACAGCATATTTACAACTGAAGAACATCTGGAACTCAAAACAACTCTCTGTCAATCAACACCAAAGTCAGAATTTTCAATACAAATGTCAAGACAGTTCTACTGTATGAGGCGGAAAACTGGAGAACTACGAAAGCCTTCATCCAGAAGATACAACTGATTATTAACAGTTGTCCATGCGATACCTGGATGAGACAATCCATGCAGGGCATCGAAGATGAGACGACGGTAAGCAGAGGGTACGATGGGTCGGGGAAGACCGGTAGAAGTATCACATAGGATAGTACCTGAGCTAGTAGCTAGGGCTACTTCCTGGCACTGAAGGGATGTAGATTTTGGTGCTTCTGTAAAAAAAGATCGTTTGCTTGAGCGGCAACCATAGCAGGAAGATCGAGCACCTGTGAAGTAACTGCATTCACTTGGATACGTGACAGAGCGTCAGCAACATAGTTCGACTCGCCTTTGATTTGACGAAGGTCTGTCGTGAACTGAGAGATATAGTCCAAATGTCTGCATTCTCGAGGTGAGTAACGATCAGACTTGGTATGCAGAGCACACGTTAAAGGCTTGTGGTCGGTGAATAAGATGAAATGGCGACCTTCTACTGTGTGCCGGAAACGTTTGATGGCACAGTAGGCTGCCAGCAGCTCTCGACCAAAAGCGCTATATCTCGTCTCTGTGGGAGTAAGGCTTCGTGAGAAAAAATTTGAGAGGTTGCCAACTACCGAAGATGTTCTGTTGCATAACGGCTACTATAGCAAAATCCGATGCATCAACCGCTATACTAAGCGTGGCTGATGGATCAGGATGAGCGAGGAGTGTAACTTGAGCCAGAGCCGTTTTGATCTCTGAAAATGCAGTACGTGCGGCATCGTTCAATTCTAATTTACGTGGATTACCGCGAAATAAATCGGTTAATGGTCGTAACCGTTCTGCTGCGTGTGGGATGAAACGTCGGTAGAAGTTAACCAAACCAAGAAATGCCTTCAGTTCCTTGAGCGTGGACGGTATGGTGTACTCTCTTATTGCGCGTACTTTGTCCTCACAAGGTAAAATACCCTCTTGCTTAATGATGTGACCTAAAAACATTATCTCCGATTTGCTCAATTCACACTTGTCTGGGTTGACTACTATTCCATTATCCGAGAGATGTTGGAATAAGAGTGTAAGATGTTGATAACGTTCATCTACGTTTGATGATGCGATTAGCAGGTCATCAATATAGACGTGAACAAAGTCTAAGTCTCGTACTATTCTATCGATAAACCTTTTGAAAGTTTGAGCAGCATTCCGTAATCCAAATGGCATTCGTAGGAACTCAAACAAGCCGAAAGGAGTCGTGATAGCAGTTTTTTCGATATCTTCAAGAGCGACTGGGATCTGATGATATGCTCGTACCAGATCGATCTTAGAAAAGATGGTCGTGCCCTTGAGTGATGCCGTGATGTCGTGTATGTGGGGGATGGGGTAGCTATCAAAGCGCGTAACTACGTTTAAAGCTCGGTAGTCATCGCATGGTCTCCAACTAACCCCATCTTTTTTGCGCACCATGTGAAGAGGAGAGGTACATGGACTGTGAGGAGGACGAATAATACCAGTAGCTAGTAAATTGTCGAACTCACGTCTAGCGAAAGCTAACTTGTTCGGTGCCAGTCGGCGTGGTCTTGCCGTGACTGGGGGTCCGCGGGTGACTATGTGGTGTACCACGTGATCGGTCACCGATGAAATCTCCCCGAGTGGTTTAGTTCATTTGGGGAATTCCTCGAATAAAGCGTGGAATTTATCGTCACGCGAATAAAAGGTGCCTAGGATTCGGTACGCGTTTGCTGTTCGACGAAGTATCGATTAGCTGCAGCCTACGTGAATCAACTAGCGGTTCGTAGTGCTGTAGGAAATCAATTCCTAGTATGGCTGTGGGAACATCGACAATGGTGAACATCCACAGATACCGTCGTCCGTTGCCCAGGTTGACCGCGAGTTGTCGTGTACCCTAGGTAGGAATGGCTGAGCCATTCGCAGCGCGTAGTCGAAGCGTTGCAGCTTGTGACTTGCTGTTACCAAGGGGTACGACAGAAACTTGGGCCCCAGTGTCCACTAGGTACCTAGCGTTTGTGCGATAATCGTGCACATAGAATAAACGGCTAACCTGGCGAAGGGGCCGGGGAGTACGGCTGCTTTTACTCGCCGACCTTGGAGTTTCCCGCCTTGTATGAGCACGGGGCCCGACAATGGTGGGAACAAGACCCGAAGGATCGGTGGAACCAGCACCAACCTCCACTCGCTTCCGAAGCCGGCTTTCGGCGTGGCTTGGAAGATGGCGAAGGCGAGTCGAACTATGTTGCTGACGCTCTGTCACGTATCCAAGTGAATGCAGTTACTTCACAGGTGCTCGATCTTCCTGCTATGGTTGCCGCTCAAGCAAACGATCTTTTTTTACAGAAGCACCAAAATCTACATCCCTTCAGTGCCAGGAAGTAGCCCTAGCTACTAGCTCAGGTACTATCCTATGTGATACTTCTACCGGTCTTCTCCGACCCATCGTACCCTCTGCTTACCGTCGTCTCGTCTTTGATGCCCTGCATGGATTGTCTCATCCAGGTATCGCAGCTAAGTTACGTCTCATCGCTCCACGATACGTCTGGCCGTCCATGAATAGAGATGTCCTTATGTGGGTAAAGCAATTCTTACAGTGTCAACGATCAAAAGTGCACAGGCATGTAGCTGCCCCCATTGACACGTTCGCTACGCCTGATGCTCGCTTCGATCACGTCCATATAGGCATTGTGGGACCATTGCCACCATCGCACGGGTATGATCACATACTCACGTGCATCGATCGTTTTACAAGATGGCCCGAAGCTATTCCCATCACGTCTATTACGGCGGAGACGGTTGCTCACCGCTTCGTAGAACGATGGATAGCGCTGTACGGTTGTCCTTCGACTGTCACGACTGACCGAGGACAACAATTCGAGTCCACATTATTCTCCTCACTGACCCGGCTGCTTGGTAAGAAATGCATACGCACTACCGCTCATCACCCAGCATCGAATGGTTTAGTTGAACGGTTTCATCGCCAGCTTAAAAGTGCTCTTCGAGCACACGAAAACGACAATTGGTACGAAATCTTACCGCTCGTCCTCTTAGGTATCAGAACGAGCTTAAAGGCAGATATTCAATTTTCCGCCGCTGAACTTGTATACGGCACGACATTGCGTCTGCCTGGGGAATTTTTCACACCACGGAGCAGTAATGATTTCGAAAAGACCTTCAAAGTTGATCGACATGGCCGCGACGAGATCGTCAGCATTGACAGTCTCAAACCAGCACACGTCGATGACAGTGCCTTACTCGATAACTTGAGACCCAATGCTAGACCTATCAAACCTACTAGTGAGATCCTTACATCTACTTCAGGTCCCACACTAGATACACCAAAGACCTAATTCTCACGTCCCGGTCAACAGCACGTGTCATCTGCACCATCTACGGACGAGACTTCAGTCTCACGTCCGGATCAGCGGACTACACCGCCCTTGACTTCGGGCCATCTTGTAAAACGATTGATGCACGTGCGTATGTGGTGGTAGAATTCATCCTTGATTGCATCCGGGCTGCAATCTGTCGGGACATAGGCGGAGATGATGAGAAGACAACGTTTCTCACGCCGATTTCTTCTCACTTTGATGGAACTCTCTAATCTAACAGCACACAGCCGACTGTTAATAGGGATCCAATCGATTAGTGCTGCCTCAGCTCTAGCGCTTAGTGCGACACCAACGCCTGCAAGACCAGACGAAGATGCCACAGGGTCCCCGGATAAACGCACGTAAAACAAGCTTTTTGAAGTGACAGAGGGAGATCGAATTTGTAGTACTTCATCAGAGTCCTGAATACGGGTCACTGATAGACAATAAACATCGATATTAAGGCTTTCTAAAGACGTAACCAACACTATCTGTTGTCCGACCTGCATTAGTGTGCGAACGCTGAAGGCAGCCAGTTTGGATAGTGAAGTGGTTTCAGAAAAGCTATTTCAGTATTCGTATTTGGTGGTAGCATTCAATTTTCAACCAGTCAGTGACTCTAGATCGTTTAGATAGGACCGAGTTTCCACCATAGGCGAGCTGCTGTATAAGTCGAAAAATAAGGATACACAAAGTGGGAATAAAAGAGAGTGAATAAGTGACGTAGTTTGACTTTTAATCGAAGCGAGAATAGTATTTTCAGTAAGTATCGGCATTTCATTCTATTTGTGTGTGGACTGTGATACTGTCCGGCTACCCAGACCGAAACAGGTGGTTTTCTTAGGGGCCACACCCCGAGCCTTTGACCTAAAGGTCTGACCCACAAGTCAGTGGAGCAACGTAAGGAGATGCAGTCTCATGGTAGCCAGTGATCAACAATTGGTTCATACGCCATTTGTTCCCGCAGGATACTGGAGCCAGCCCATGTGCACCATTGGTTTGGAATCCGGTTAAAGCACAGGACATTCTCTTTTCATCCTCTCATTTTCATAAACAACACCCTTGCCACGAGAAGGCAGTGAGTAGGTTTTTTCTGTCAGTTTCTGTATACGCGTAGCCATGTGAGAGCATTTGGAGCGGGAGAGCTGACATCCCCCACCCTCGATCGCATTTTGAGTTACTAGAGAGTTGTTTTATCGCAATATTTTTGTGAGTACCTCAACATTCTCACTGCCTATATGTGTACTAGGTAATATGAGTTTTTTTCTATTTTTTTGAAGTAGAGTGGCTGCATTTCAATCTAAATCGATTGTTTTTAGTTCTACGATTCTAATCTCTGTACTGAATATACTGGAATAATTACACTACAACTCGACTTTAGTATGAACAAATGATTGAAGTTATATATATATATATATATCACATTACAATTTATTTAAGAAGTGAAAAGCACCAGAAAGGGTCGACAAGTATCCCTTTCATGTTACCACCAACTGTGTATACAAATTCACATGTATCTGCCAAAGCAGTTACATTGGTAAAACAGAAAGGAGAGCCTACGTCCGATTCAAAGAACATATTCCGAAAAGTTTAACATCAAATGGATTGAAAGCATTCAACAGTGCCATCGCAAAACATCTCCTTGACACAGGACACGAATTCGATACACTGAAGTCCTTCAAGGTGATTAACAAACAATCAAACTCTAACCTTTTGAAATTTGCCGAAGCATTAGCAATCAAACGTCTAACACCAGATCTATGTATACAAAAAAAGACAGTAATAAATCTTTCTTTACCCTGGTAACAATAACCCCCTCCTTTTTATTCATTTATTTCTCTATTTATTTATTACGTCATTATTGCAACTCTTTCTGAAATATAAATTACATCATACATAACTGATTGATTTCTATTCATGTAGTTTCTTTATTACCATTAATCTATTTTCATGAGTTCTAATCACTATTTCAATGTTCCGGAACTTTCCCTCTCAAACTTTATTTGTTCGAGACAAAATTATATGACTTCATTAACTCTATCGGAATCTTCGCTACAGCATGATACATTTATTCATCCTTAATCACCCCATTATGTATAAGTATGTCAATATCTGTAATAATGTTGAATTTTAAAAAAATTTAGGTTGTAAGCAGCTGATGAGAACCTAACTAAATAAAATGAATTCATAATATTCTGCACCAATCTTTCTAGTTCTATTCAATTCTTGTTCATTCTTCTCGTATCTGTCTCCATTTCTCAGTGTAATGTGTTATTTGGTCCTCTTCTCCTCCTTTGGCCTTGAGGATTCCATGTAAGGGCTTGCCTTGTGACGCAGTTGGGTGCATTCCTCAATGTGTATCCTATCCACTCCCAGCGCTCCTTCCTGATTTCTTCCTCCACTGGGATCTGGTGGCATCCCGTCATCTTCACAGATTGTTTCACTCACACTAGACTTCTTGCTGCCAGTGGCTCGTGTTATGGTCTTGGATGTCTGGTTTTTCTATCACACGACTTATCTACTAATCCGAGTACGACTTATACGAATCTTCACACTAGGCCAACCAATGACGTTCAACCGGTGTGGGCAGTTTAGCGTCCTTATTGGTCCTATGTCCTACGAGCCCTTCCACTTGAGTACAGAACACAAAACCAGCTTCCGAATATAAATCGAATCGAATCGTTTATTTCATGCATACTTGGTTTATATATCAATCACACAGACCGCAACGTACCATAAAATAGGAAATAATATTTGTACACAAATAAGCCCAAAAAGTGGCTGTGAATGTGGGAGGCAGTAGTTGATAAACTGAACATAACTTAAGAACCGTAAATCGTACAATAATAAATTATAGGTCAAAATAAAGCTTATCATAAAAGGAATGTAAATATACATAGTGTAATTGTTGAGTAGTTATACAATAAGAATATTTATAGAATATTAGTCCATGAATAGTCCTCGAAAGTTACCTGTAATTTAATCTTCACCGGATATAACAGCTCGGATGAGTTGGAAGAGCTTCCGGTAGTTACCAGATGCAGCTGCTGCTTCTAGCTCATTAGCACGCTCTGAACACTAGGCTTCAATTCGAGCAGTGGAGTCAGACAGGGTTGCCCAGCCTCACCATTCCGCTTCAACTTTGCCATCAATGACATTCTAGAAACAGCTCTGATGGATGTAAGTAATGGCGGTGTGGATCTGTTGCCTGGAGAGACTTTTCAGCCTTAAGTATGCGGATGATATTGTCTTACTGTGTGCTGATACATAAGCCATGCAATCCGCACTTAATTAGTTGGCAGTCATTTTCCGTATGTACGGTATGTGCTTTGCACATTCCAAGTGCAAAGTACTTTTATAAGGTTCGCAGGACCCTGATCCTGCACTAACTGTGGGTAGTGAGCAGATAGAAATAGTCGAAGTTCGTGTATCTGGGTACCTACATAAGTGCTGGTGGAGGTGTGAGTGATGAGATCAATGCACGTATAGTGAAAGCCAGAGCGGCTTATGCCAATCTGGGCCACCTTTGGTGCCTTCGTGATGTTAGTTTGACTGTACAAGGTCGCATCTACAACGCGTCGGTGAGAGCAGTTCTGCTCTATGCTTGTGAAACCTAACCTCTCCTAGTTGAGGACGTTAGACGACTCTGTGTTCGATCATCGTTGTCCCCGAAGAATTGCTGACATCCAGTGGCAACACCAAGTCAGTAATGCAGAGGTTCGGCATCGTGTGTTCGGGCACAGAGACGATAATGCAATTGGTGTCACCATCTTGAAACACAGACTTCGGTGGCTTGGACATGTTCTACGAATGTCGTCCCAGAGAATTCCACGTCGTGCATTATCTGCGGATGTTGGAACTGGTCGGATTTGGAGACGTGGTCAATGTTCGGCATGGTGTCGTGGTATGAAAGAAAGCTGTACAGGACTGGCTTCTGTTTGGTCCTTCACGACTCCCTGGATGGGGTCCGAGAGATGGTGCGACACAGTGGCTAGAGACGTTATCTGATATGGCTCAGAATAGAAGCAAGTGGCGATCCTGCTGTAACCTCTTACTTTCTCCACAAAAAGTGGTTGCTTCTTCCATAACTGAAAGATCTCTTCTGATTGTATGTTTCTGTTTCCCCGATTATTATTATTATTACACTACCTTACACTAATCTGTTCGTTATTGTTCTTTTTCAACTCTCCTTGCCTTTTTTCCCTTCTTCTCTTCAAATTCTCATTGTTTTGTGTGGCGCATATAAATTTGGTGCACCCTTGTACCAATTTTTATGTGTTCAGGTAAATAAACAAATAAGAAATGTCCTACTCACTGCCTTCTCGCGGTGTGGGTAATGTTTACGAAATTGAGAAGACGAAAAGCGAATGTCCGGTGCTTTAACCGGGTCGGTGGATATGAAGGACCCACCTAGGAGAGTTGGAAAACCCTGATTCTAAACCAATAGTGCACATGGGCTCCAGTATCCTGAGTGAACAAATGGCGTATGAACCAATTGTTGGTCACCGGCTTCCATGGGACTGCATTTCCTTACGTTGCTCCACTGCCTTATGGATCAGACCTTCAGATCAAAGGCTCCGGGCGTGCCCTCTAAGAAAACCACCTGCTTCGGTCTGGGTACCCGAGCAGTATCACACGACTCGCAGTCAAGTTAATCGACATGAATATGGTGTGAGTGAAGTACACTATTTAAAATAACTCTGTGTTTAATGACTCACCGTAAAGCAGTATATGTACCAAGATGAAGAAATGAATAGTTCGGATCATAGAAAACATAAACAGATGAAAGACATCGTGGAAGTAGATCGATAACACCGACAGCAATTAATTTTTCACCATCAAGCCAATATTGTTGATGATAAGAACCAAACATTGGTGAAGTTGAATTCCATTCAAAATCGTCCTTTAAGAAAATTCATTCAGTCATAGACGAGAAATTCACATATGAATGTTAATCAATAATATTTGTACACAATAATCATTCATACTTTTAGCGTCAAGTATATATGGTTGATGATTACAGTCATATATAAGTTTTACTATTAATTAAAAAAGTATGTGAAACTTAAAAGCATTCTAACAATGACCTCCAATACATCAGTATTCTATTTTGAACAGGGTAGTCTTGAATACAGTTAGAGACAAGTAGGCAGCCGGTTAGTGATAGTCGTCTACATGGTAGATTTATACTTCTTATTGAGGGACCTGAGAAGCGAGTTAGGTTAAGTGTGATCTTGTCAATCTAGGAGTTGTCGCAGAGCCCAAGGGACAATTACTTTAGGGAGGTCACATACGGTCTTTCAGAAAGTAGTTCTTGATATATTAGCTCTATATTATTCAAACCTTACTGCATGGGATGGAAATTTGTGAGGTAACCTGAGGTGAGCTATTTTTAGGGTCGGCATTTTATAATGTAGATGTGGGTTTTTCAGAGGGAAATACCTTACTTCCGTTACACCCGACTATAGTCAGTAGTACGACGTCACTCTTGAACCTTGGTTTCGCTGATTTCAAAATAACTGCTCTCCGACCGGCCTCTTTTATGTAGTATTACTTAACGTAACGAGGATTCCTACTAACCTAGTTTGACTGGCCATCACGAATGACATGACCAACCACCACCTCTAAGTAGCAGATACAGTTGGATGAGAACTGGGTATAAGTGTGTAATGGTATCGTTATATATACAGTTTTAAGATAACATATAAATTATATATTTTAAATTCTGTCAGTAGATTATGATCGAATTAACATGTATCATCTCTAACTGTCAGTTAATGGGAACTAATCAGAGGAAAACTCTGAATTTAGGTTTTAAGCTGGTTGATATTATTCATCGGGAACGTTAATCTACAACCTTGAGGAAGGTGAATTCTGATACATGATATGAAATTCAAGTTTGCATCACTGAATGCCAATATCTATATCGATAACTACTGAGCTACTGTAAAACTGGGATGTATACACTGGTCGATAAGTGAATAGTAAACAACGTTTTGTTGTCTATTCCCTAAGACTAATTGAATTATATCAGTCAAGTTTTAATTTGATAACCATAAACCACAGGAGTGAATATGTTATTATAATTTAACTAATATTGGGTGATTAGAAGTAATTATATATTAAAACCGTTCACATTTAGAAAATTTCAATTTATTATTAACAAAGACTAAAAACTAATTTGAACAATTATAAAACTAATATCAGAAGGGGTTTTTGTAGATATTATAGTAATTTTAATAGTTGAGATCATGAGTCAATTGACGCTAGACCATCATGGAAAACCTGAGACTCTTCCCCTTTTGATATTAATCAACATATGCTTACTAGTGACTGGCTTAAAGAGGTATTTCCTGAAGTTCTAGTGAGAAGCAGTCACCAATGGAGTTCAATCGGGTCTGTTGTGAGATAGTAACTCACTGAAGACAATGGTGAATATGTCACTCAATTTCGTGGGTTAGTTGAAGTTAGACATTACCACCGTTGGATGCCGGCTGTGGTTTAGGGGTTAAGCGTTCGCGCGCGAGACTGATAAGTCCTGGGTTCGAACCTCGCGAGGCGGGATCGTGGATGGGCACTATTGAGGAGTCCCGCAGTAGGACGAGACGGCTGTCCAGTGCTTCCAGGTTTTCCATGGTGGTCTAACTTCAATTGGCTCATAATCTCAATCATTGAGATTAATTATAAAATTATGCGGAACGATTGTACACCAAGCAACATAATATTGAACCAGAAAATTGGCAAGAGATGAACAGAATTAGATAGAAACTTTATTCTATCTTAAAACTATTCACAGAAGAGCATTGTATACTACTGATCATCCCGTTCCCAATCCCCTTAAACAGACAAACACACACACATTGTGATTTGAAAACAGGATCTTGAAGTTTCATTATTATTATTATTATCATTATTATTATTATTATTATTATTATTATTATTATTATTATTATATCTCTTACCAATACTAATGGAGATTTAACTAAGAAACGTTGAAATTTCTCCCAAGTACAATCTTCTTTCTCATCTTTATGTATATGAATTTGATATTGTTCATAAATTCTATGAGATAATTTTATACGAGATTCATAATCGTTATCTGTTGGTGAAGATGTACGTATTAAACGAATCTATAATATGAGAATCATTAATTACAAAAGTATATTACTATTATAATTATCATATACAAAGATTGATAAACATGAAATGAAGATAAATAAAATAGTAAAGTGGTTTATCATTGCTTCAAACATTTACCTTAACTTCGCCTGTAGCTCTTGTAGAGTTACTGCCAGTTCTAAACCCGGGTAAAGGAGGAGGGTTGGGCATGGGGTTAGCAATCCCATCCCGTAGAAAACTAACTCGCTAAAAAACGCTAACCAGAATAAAACGCAAACATTTACCTCACATGTTAGAACGATAGAGCCGTGAATAAACATATTGCATTTCAGCATCAGGATCAAATTGGAATGAGATTGTTGGTCCATTTTCAATCAGTCAGAGTTAGTGGATAAGTTTAAAGTATACTAGATGATTCTTGTGAAAATCTTATATATACTCCAATTGTAATGATATATCTTCGTAGTTCGGATTATTGAAATATATGAGGTTCTCATCCGATTCTTATTATGATTCGGAAATAGCAAAGTGAAATATAATGCCTAACGAATACTACACAAAATAAGAGTGAAATATTACTCTTTCAACTAACAATAGGTCCATACGCCGTTTGCTTACTCAGGATACTGGATACCATGTACACCATCAGTTTGGAGTCAGGGTTTTTCAACTATCCTAGGTGGATCCTTCATATCCACCGACCCGGTTAAAGCTCTGAGTATTCGCTTTTCGTCTTCTGTTTCGTAAACATCAACCACACCGCGAGAAGGTAGTGAGTAGTGGCTGTATACGCGTGGCCATGTGAGAGCATTTGGAAGGAGAGAGCTGACTCTCCTTACCCTCAGTCATGCCAGGGCATTTGGCAGCAGTAAACAATAGGAATTGAAAATATCCATTATTGTGATCTTCAACTAGTGGGGGTAATAAATATCATTAACTTTAGTGAAATAAGCTTTAAACACACAGAGAGAGAACACTTATGTCGGAACGCATCGCATTTTCTTGAACGTAAGTGTGAAAACTTAACATTTAGTGCGTTTATGGCATATATATAATAAATATCTAAAATTTAGGAAACCTGCTTGTCATCATATAATCTTGAAAGTCTATAATCCAGTGGAACTGTTGTTAATGATTATATTTGAATTTCAATGTCTACATAATGAATGAGTGAACGCGAACTATACAAGAGAATTTGACCACAAGCTAATTGATATGAAAATAAAAAACAGTATAAGATTTGAATTAATGGGTGTCGAGTTCGAAACCCAGACGTTTTCACTAACCATCAACCAATTAAAGGATATCAGAATAAAGTGAAGTAAATAATTAGGAATTTCATGGATTAGTGGTATAAATATCATCTATTTCCATTAACATAAAAAACGAAAATTTGCACACATACTTCGATAAAGTGCTTTCCTTCTCCTTTGTTTGGTTCAGATTGTAGAAAATCTTCGACTTGCTTTGGTTTATTTTTATCTAGACGTTTCTGACGTCTTTCATAGTATTCCTGGTAGTAATAACAACAACAAATGAGAAACAATTGAAAAATTTCCACAATGAAAAATGTTTGACTTTAGTAAGTTAGTAACACTTACAATTGGTTTATTTTTGAAGTATTGATCAATGTCATGTTAGTGTGGTCCTTTAAGACTGATTGAATTACATCGATCAAGTTGCAATGTGATTAGGTGCACCCTATTGGTATATCAGGTGATTGAAAGTGATCGACAGGAGACTTTGAAATAGAATCTAATCAGCACTAAGAAAGGATTGACGAACACGATATTCGTCACTGCTCAGTGACTGACAAACCGTAAATATCTCAATCCTACAGATTAGCTGAGATCCTAACAAACCAGTAGTAGTCACAGACCGTAAAGCCGAATGACACGGGATCGAATCTGCGACGGAGTATCATTTCCCTCCAGATTACAGCTACACCTCTCTGATGGGAATCAAACGGCACAAAACCCATAATCAAGTGTCTCTGAGGCGTGTAACCCAAAGACTTCAACAACTGATCTTGATCGTATGTGGGTGGAAACTACTCATACTGATATACAGTTAACTGAACTAAAGTAGGTGAAGTAACGTATGAAACCAACGACCCAATAGTTGAAAGCTAGATGGTTTAAACTCAAAAGTATAGTTCGCAAACAAGCATGCGCAGAACAAAGCAGTTGCCTAGTACACTGTTACTGCATATTCTAGTCTCTTGATATATTTTTAAATATTTCCGCAGTCTAGATGTACATCTGCATGATGTACGCTTCTTTACACTAAGTTAGATAAAAAGGTTCCAATGTGATTACTCAATAGTTGACAATGAATAACAGATTACAGAAACTCACTAACCAGCAAGTAAAATGTAACACCAGTAAAAAGAGCTGTTACTCTTACTTCGAACGATTTAAACATATACTTCCCATAATCAATTTACATTGATAAGTATACACAACTACTCATTGTACCCAATCTAAGTTGAGTACATAAATGTAATGCCGCATTTAGTGTTGATCACAGTAAACATATGTTTTGTACTTCATATCAAAGACTGATGAACGGCGTTCAAACTGTAAATTACTGAATTACAAGTCGTGTGTTCACAGTATACAGTTAGTTAAACAATCTATTTGTCAACTGCTATCTTCAATTGCACAACATAAAATCAATTTATAATATCTTCTGAAAAATATACTAGAAAATAATACCTGAAGTAAAATTTCAAATGAACGATTTTCTTTTAGGCTTCTATGACGCAAATGTTCTTGTTTAGCTATCCAACGACGAAGATGAGCTTTCATTTTGTGACTTCCATGCGACGATGAACTTTGAATTTTATCACCTGAATGAATACTTTGAAATTCCACATTATTATTATTACTATCATTTGATGTATTTAATGTATAATGTGGTGTACTAGGGGCGTTTTCTGTTGATGATGATATTTTATCGCCGAAACAATCTGTTTGATATATATTTGTTTGGCTTTTAGTTTTCTCTTCCTTTTGTTGAACTGCGGCGACTGTTTAACATTGAATTGTTAAGCATAAACAATAATTAGTATGAAGGGTCTTTAGAAATTGTTAAATTTGTAATTTTACATCACGGACTGACCTTAGTTAGACGACTTAACGTTTTTAATTTTGATATCATATGAGGTGACGTTGTTACGTCAGTCATGGCCAAAATAAAGTTTGAGACTGTATCAGCCCAAGTTGCGATATCACATTGACACAACAAGATGAATAACAAAAGTTTAAATCATAGTAGCAATGAAGATAAAATGTTGGCAAATACAACCAAAAAAGAGGGTGGATTTAAAAATCAAAGAGTATCTCGGAACTTAATATCTAAGGGAAGACACAGTGAATGCAAAAACAGCATTAAAATCAATTCTGAGCTATGACACCTGATCTCTTCAGCCACTAATCTCAGTCACTGCACGGACTCACACCAGGTTATCTGAACATGCCAATATCACTCAGCTAAATAATCAATCGTTTTATGGATTGATGCAATGTCTAGATCTGAGCAACCCTACATTTCGTCCAACTTCCTACTACTACAGGCAAAATTACACGTCGAGGTATGTAGTGTTTGAACGCATGTATGTTTTCAATGACAATGAAATAACTGTTATTGTGTGATTTAAGAGAAAAGAATGATTTGCAGAATAGGACCTACTAACACAAGTTCATACCAATAGTCAAGGATTTCTGCTATCTTCATTAAAATAATCATGCGTAATTTTACCATACCTAATATTATGACCGACGAATGACACCGGTATGTTTATAATTAAAACAATGATAACAGAACAATACCTATAATTACCGACATAAAGATAATAATCAATTTACCATTTTTAAATGATAAAACAGGCATCGATTTTTCCTCAGGAACAAACATACGATGATCATCCGTTCTAAGATTATTAAGATCCTCTTTTTGATGAGATGTTTTTTCATGAGGTAACTGTCCAAACTTTAAAAAATTGTACATATTTTTCAACACTCTTTTATGTGATTTCTTTAAATGGAAATGTAATGCATCACATCGAATAGTATATGATGGACAACAAGTAATGTCATTTAAAGGTTTATAACAGTAAGTACCTGATCTGTAAACAATTATTTCGACAATTCGAAAAAATAACATACCGACGCCATCCTCGATCGATCATATATTGATAATCTGAAACAGTAAGTCGTTCAGCCATCATACCTTTGATAAAATAAACATAGTAATACATGTTTTCCTAAATAATTTTAGCATTACCCCAATTAGTCTTTTTGTCGTCAGAACTATTTTTACAATAACCACACTGTCCTGAAGAATGAGATCCATATGGGATTACTAAACTAGGATTGGTACAAAGTTCCATTTTCTAAAAGAAAACACACTAATTTAACTCCATATACATAGATATAGACATAAAGAATTTGCCACACCTATTTATAAAAAAAAACGAGAACATCAGCCCCCAAACGCCTTGATATGGTCAGGGTCGAGGAGAGTCAACCCTCCCTTCCCAAACGCTCTCACGTGGCCACGCGTATACAGCCACTACAAGGGAAGTCCTACTCACCGCCTTCTCGCGGTGTGGGTGATGTTTACGAAACTGAGAAGACGAAAAGTGAATGCTCAGAGCCTTAACCGGGTCGGTGGATATGAACAATCCACCTAGAAGTGGGAAACTCTGATTTCAAATCAATGGTGCACAAGAGCTCCAGGGTCCTAAAAGAACAAATGGAACCTATTGTTGATCACCAGCACCCATGAAACTTCATCTCCTAACGTTTCTCTACTGCCTTGTGGATCAAGGTCAGGGAGCGGTTTCCTAAGAGAACCACCTGACTCGACTTGGACACCCGGGCAGTACCATAGTCCTTACACGCAAATCAAGTAACCTGTGTGGTGTATATGTATTTGGTGCTTCTTTGTACTAATGCTTGTGTCCAAATAACAATACTAATCAGTTTAAAGCGAACAAGTATATAAAAGTGTTAGTATTTGTACTATTTAGAGAAAAATATGAAATGGGTATATGAGTTATAGTGGTCAATTTTCAACCATATAAACCGTTCTGTACACTACTAACTTATTAACTAAATACAAATTCGAGTACCCGATTTCCGTTACTGATAATGTAGACAAGGAGTTTCCTATTTATCACAAAAACCGGAAATTTTTGCAGCGTTCCACATTTTATCATTTCTTAGACGTGAAACATAGTATATGAATGCAAAAGAAACTATTAGATTTTTATTATTTGATAGTAAGTAAGACTACTGCAATCAGTGAACGGACAATGCTAATGTTAGACATGAAGTAATAAGTAGAAGTACTGGATAAGTTGATAGTGTGAGACTTCATTCACTGAGAAATCTTTCATATATGTTGAGTAGTCGTCCACCCTGTTGTCCTATGTAAGCCAACAAATAAGTGGGCTGGAAAACTCCTGAGCATTCCAAAACCAAGGGACAACATCAGCTACTGACATTATGAACTTCAATCAGGTGCTAACCTATTTGGATCCGGAACGATAATTTTAATCTAAAATTGGATACGTTGCATGAGACGTTTTACAGTAGATCGACAAGTTGCAGATGCCTTCATTCGTCATCCTCTATGTTTTGACATGTCATTGTAAACGTTTTGTTTTCTAATTCCCATTTTTATACCTAGTTAACTTGTATTACTGATTGCATACGACTATCTCATCAATTTCTATTATTTTGCTCACTCCACTCAAAGCAAATATAACTCTCATCACAAATACAGAACTTTGTTGACAATATTTGTACTACTGAATGACGGACACTTTAGATAAGTCTCCATGCCTGTTGCTGTAGTCATTTTTGTCCCTGAAACCCAGCACATGACTGGGAGAGTTAGTTGTTTTGTTATTAGCCACGAACGGATAGAAAAACGACATAGTCCCTAGTGACCTTTGCAATTAGCAAGAATTATGGTGAAACGCCGTTTTACCTTATGTTTCTGTGAATAAATCCGGCGTCGATTTGCACCCACATTCAGAAATAAGTATATTCAATATTCCAACGTTTTGTAAATGTCTTATCACGTTTGGCATTATAGTTTATGTCAGTTAGTGATGAAAACCCTAATCATTAACTGTATATGAAAATTCTGACTGTTCTACAACCATTATTAGGTCCTAATCATTTGGTGTCCGCTCTCAAGATCACTTCAGCGTCGCTCAAAGGTCGTCCATAAATTATAGTCTCACCGCACATATAAAACTACAATTGCTGATCTGTTTTGAAATCCAAGTGAAGACGCTATTTCTCATTTAAAACGCCTTTATCGCGCCAATTCCTTATAGTGTTACCCGCTTTTATTAAATAAATATTCTTAAAACTAAAACTAACCTCGATTGCATAGAGTACGTTGAACCGACCTAGGTATAGCAGGTAAACCCTGGTATGCATTATTACTTTGTTTGAACTAGAGATCATTCTTCATGAATAAATATGCTTAATAGTCCTCACACTAATTACGTTCTTTCTCTTTTTCGGAATGGTTAAAGAACCATATCTATCAGTAAAATGTTGACGTCCATTTACCACCTATAGGTAAAAACTATCGACTATTTAGTGGACTAGTCTGTTAATTACACTAAAATTTAACCACTTGAAGGGCTAATATAAGGAAAAAGTAGACAACTGAGAGAAAGATCCGGGGGATAGACAATACAGTGGTAATTTTGAGGAAGGTCAAGTAGTTAAATTCTAGACATTTCCACTTGACGGGAAGATTCACAGAAAACCTGCCATTCCCATCGCGTTGGGAAAAAAGCCACAACTTGATTTATTTTCGCCCATATACATAGCGACACTTCTTAAGGAATCTCTCTAGTATTTCTCGGAAATTCCCCATTATTACTCCTTTATTATCCCTCCTTATTATTAGTCAAGTGTCAAGTTATATTTCGTACGTTTTATAACCCAGAATCTACTTTTATACTGCTGCTTATTCGGTAGCGTCCTTCAGGTAAGCCAACAAATAATATGAACTGTACAGCAAACTTCTAACCGATGTAACGCAAGAGACGTAGAACGCGCTTATGTTGAAGTCAGGGCAATTATGTGCTTTATATCAGATTCATATTCATGTACTGTGAACAGAAGGCTTATGGCCCGTGTCAGATTCTAAGCGTGTTTAGTCTCCTATTGAATGAGTCTTCTGAAGTGACATATCACATTTTCGGGTGACGGGTTCTAGGAATTGATTATTCGGTGTGTAAATCTACATGTCACTGGTATTTTGTCCATTCTTGGCATTTTTACTCGCTTATTATGTCCTATAACTTGTCCTAATCTATCAGAAAGAAAAAGAGGATAATTCAGGCATTACTCACTTCTTGGTGTTATGTATATCAAAATCAGATCACCTCTTAATCCTTAGTAGGACGAGGTAATGAGGTCTAGCTTCTGAAACCACACCCGTATGTTAAACCTGAGGATTCTGAAATTGCACGAGTAGCCGTCATTTTTTATTTTTTAGGATATTCGAATCGTTTTTCTAACAGGGTCTTGGAGCCTGAAATCAGTTTTCAAGTTTGGATCAAATTAATGTTGTGTATACTTTAGTGAACATGTTAGTCTCTAACTTAATAAATGTCCGCCTTAAAGACCATAAGGTCATGAACTCCTTAACAGCTATCGAACGGCAGTGTAGTAGCACTGAATACTCAACTATACTTAAGAGTTTATTCACATAAAGTATAAAAACTAAAGGACCTATGACAGAGTCTTACGGTGCTCCACTAAGTATTAATTTTTGATAGAAACACTTGGAATTGATCATTGCTTTCATTCTACGACTTGCCAAGAATTCATTGGTCCACTTAAGGAAAGGTCCGGCAATTCCAGGATTTTCCAACTTAAATAGGAGTCTGTTATCCAGGAGCCTACGTCAATACATCCCATTTCAGCTTTCACTTAAATTGTGTAGTTATTTGAATTTCCATTTATAACTTTTGGCTAGATAGTCTTTGTAAAAATATTTTCAACATGTGATCCAATAAAAACTCGCCATAATATTCTCTGCAAAACTATTTGTAAAAACGTGAATTTTGTCCGTAACCTGATAACATTCAAGCAACTTTCTATTAATTGGGAACAAGCAACTACCTTTTTGTGTCTTTATGGGGTCACCTGAACAACGGTCTTATCTTAACTACTATTTTTTCGATGTGGGATTCTTCATTAAGATAACCAGTAGACGGTTAGCGATTAATATCAAATCTTTGAGATAAATAACTGCAAACCTTAATAACTTACCTGACTCTGTCAGACTGAAAAGTGTGACAGTTTGACAGTATCTTGCCTTTGTTGTGACTTTTGGCCCCGTTAGCTATCACGTGATTTATTCACCAATCATGATATACTTATGCGATATTAGTACTGTGCCAAACGAATGACGTATCGACCGGTATGAGCAGCATTCTTTGTCCTCCTAGTCTTACCAGTTGAGTCCAGAACACCAATACGAGCTATCGCTATACGAATCGTTTATTGCAAACATACTTGGTTTATATACAAGCCAACCAGACCACATCACACCACAAAATAGGAAACAACATTTGTACAAGATCTAGCCAAACTTGGCTGTGATTGTGGGATATGGTAATTAATAAACCGGACATATCTTAAGAATATTAAATCATACAATAATAGTCTGCAAGTCAAAGTAAAACTTGCTGTAAGAGCAATATGAATATACATATTCCGATTACTCAATAGTTATACAGTAAGAATATGTGTTTTATATTTGCCCATAAACAGGTCTCAGAAGTTACCTTTAATTGAATCTTCACTAGGATACGACATTTATATTTTTCCTTCTTATTGTCATCCATCTAAAATAACTATCCCTGGTGAGACTTTGATTCTTCATTAAATCGTACTAAAGGTGAAAGCTGGCCTGATTCTCGGATGTCGGCAGTCTCGTACTAGAGGTTATTAAACTGTATAACTTCAGAGCCAATCGTTATAAGTTAGACAACCATGCCCGCCTGCTTGATACTATGGCACAATTAAGATTGGTATTCAAACCAAACAACTACACTCATTGTGATGATGGTCTTCTTCCAAAGTACTTCATGCCAGTTACCCCTTCACGGAGCATAGCCACCGACCAGGATTCTTCAACCAACTCTGTCCTAGGGTCTCCATTTGTCTCCAGAGGTTATTCATTATTTTGACGTCTGCCTCCAAATGCCGACACATTGTGTTCCTCCTTCCTTCCACTTTTTCCTTTCGCCTCTGGAATTATGAATTAGGGCTTGCTTTGCTGTGCACTTTGTCAGTTACCTCAATGTATGTCCTGTCCGTCTTCAGCGTTTTCCCCTTGTTTCTCCTTAGGCTGGAAGTTGGACTGTTATTTGCCGCAGTGAAATGTCACTGATATGCACTTTATTATTTTTATTATATTTGTGGTAGTTCCCTAAGTTTCAGCTTCTCACAATAGAACTGTTTGGCCGTCGTACTGAGGATTGTGACTTTGATGTTGGTTGACAGTTGTTTTGAGTCCCATATGTTCTTCAACAGTAGGAATGTAGCTTTTGCTTTGCCAATCATTGCCTATACATTTGCATCAGGTCCTCCTTGTTTATCGATTATTCTACCCTGATATGGGAGAGCTTCCACCTACTATAGTGCCTCTCTATTAAGCGTGATTTGGCTGGCGTCCTCTAGGTCCTATTCGTTGATATAAATTTTCCATTGTATCTGTCGAGGCCTACTACATCAGAGGCTGACGCTATACTGGCTGTTTTTGCGTTCATCTCTTACTGGGTATAGGATCATGGCGATTATAACTGTCCAGACAATAGTTTTCTCACGTTTTCAGATTGTAATCAGAATAAATTTTTACCTATTACACTAACAATGCTAGCTTTAATATAAAGATTACATATATTTCTGTCTATAAATGGGGTTCCATGGGGAATCGTTTTAATACCTGGCCTCCATATGTACGAAGCGAATGAACCGTCAGTGGTGTCAATCAGAAAAAAATAGTGGTGTCAAATGGTCAGTCTATCCAATCAGTGATATGTACTCAACATGTGGTGTAAAGTGTGAGGGCGCTCGAGTCCGTGAGTTATAAATGTGTAGTGGCACTCGTTCCTAACCACACGACCTTTGAAACCTGGCATATAATTGCCGAAGAGGTTTACAATTGGCATGTAATACTTAGAGCGGGTTAAAAGTGATAAACGCAGGAAGAATGGGTTGAAATGGCCTGGCCCGGTTATGCAGAAGCGTTCACATAACGTTCCACTTATTTCATCAAACATATTGCTCTTTTGCCAGCTCACGTGTGTTTAGAAGAAGTGCTAGACGTCATATTGCTGAGTGTCACTATAAGACGAGTTAGTGTAGACAATTATGTGACTTCCACATAAGATCTTACAGACTAGGTAGTCATATGGTGGGATGGCTACAATTCCGTGACTCGGTCTATTATCACAGTAGTAATAATACCGAAGTAGACTATATTTTCACAAGTTGTACAACCACTTTTTTACACTCAAATCACTATTATTATTCACAAACAGCTCATTGGTAAATATGTGTTTTGAAAGAACCATTTTTTGGTTTCTTCAGAGGTACAATCACACACAAGTCTCAATAATTTTCGCATGATGTTTGCCATATTTAGACGGAATCTATGGAATTGAGGCAAATATCGAATTGACTCTAGAGAAGGAAAACGAAAGAATAGGTGGAAAATAAAGGATATAAACATGGGATACGGAAGTAACTTGATGAGCGTTTTTGTCAGTACGGATTCAGAGTAAATGATGACGTACGTATTGCCAAATGAATAAAAAATGAATTAATGATAAAATATATCATAATCACAGTAAGATTCGGCAGTGGAAGGGAAGTTCGTTTACTTCAGCATGATTCTATGAGTCTCAATTAATTGCAAGGAATAATCAAATATCAAATTAGATGGTCCATTTACACGTGTTGATGATAATATGAATCAGAAAAGTTCATATGTTTAAGTATGACACAAGTGGTATGTTTTCAGTTATTGAAATTTATTATTATGAGTCCGATAAGCTTTCTTGCTTTGGATACTTGAGATGCAGTAAGTTCGTGAAATTTTAAACTACTGCTATACCTCAAGCACAAGTCATGAATACTGTTGAGAGGTTTCACTATGTAAATGTGCAGAGCCAAACTTAGGTTAAGGCCACAGTCAAAGTAAATAAATCCACATTTGTCAACGCTTGGCGCTAGATTCTGCGATAAAGTCCATTGGTATAACTTGTCTATATCTTTTTAGATTACCACTGAAATACATTTTTCTTTGGTAAGAGACGAGAATGAATAAAGCACTTTTAGATCACCGGCAAAAAGTAAAGTTTTGCCGTGCTGAAAGAGTGAGTACACGCCATTGATGAGAAGGAGAATGATTGATGGCCCAATCACACTTCCTTACATAAACTCACTGTTCACATTGAAAGATGCCACAAGTATTTGTATTTTGACAACGCCTTAACCAGAAACAAAATTGTTATCCGAAATGTGACAACCCATTCAAACCGAAAGTCAGAAACGAAGGGGGTGGGAGATATATTTGGTAGGCCATCTACATATCGAGAAGTGATCAATGTAAGCTGTCTAATGGTCGTAGGAGATGTGAAGCACGGCGTACCCACTCGTGATCTGGTGCGTGTGCGTGACCGAGCGTCTTTAGCTAGTTGAGTGCATTGAGACTAATTCGGTCGGAGTCAAATGCCGGAGACTCACAGAACTATTGATTTCAGGGGTTTATTTACCGCTACACATTCATAGGCTTAGGGTAGCAAGATCCAAGGCGGATGCTTT